ATACAATAAAAATTGATCTTTACCTATTTAAAAAGTAATAAAGTGGGTGTTTGGCAAGTTATATTACGTGTTTCTCCAAAAATTTGATATATTATAGTAAGTTTTTTTATTAGATAAAATATTGATTAGATACTGTAATATCGTTGACTTTATATGAGTAATAATGCAAACTAACATATTTTATCGATACGCAGTATATTATAATCAGTATATAAATTTGTTATACTTACATCTGCAAATTTTCCATATAACTTAGATAGACTTTCAGTATACTTTTTTATAGTCCGAAACATAAGCATAGAACTCCAAATTAGGGAATATTAAATTCTAAGATCTTGTGTAACCATCAAATTTCATTTTTTAAAACGCCAAAATGAAGTTTTTCGTGTCTATAATAATTAGCTATTAAATAATACTATAGTATAAGTATTTAATTAATCTTAACTCAGTCCCACAGTCCAAATAAACTCAGATAATCGATAGTCTCCCTATTTCCCACAGGTTTACATATGAAAATGCCGAAATGAAACTTTAATCTCTATAATAATTAGTTATTAAATAATACTATAGTATAAGTATTTAAGCGTCTATAATAATTAGTTATTAAATAATATTATAGTTACAGTATTTAATCTGTCTCTTATACACATCTAGATGTGTATAAGAGACAGGATTATAGTAATAACTTTCCATTCAATTATTAAATTAAAAAAAAAATCCATTTTGCTTTCATATCCCACCTGAGTAGATCCGAAGAAACTTTATATCGTTACATTATACCTCATGTCTCTTTACATCATCTAATAACAAAATATCAAAGTAATTTCATATAATCATATCTTATATATCTTATATACTATAAAAATTGATCTTTACCTATTTAAAAAGTAATAAAGTGGGTGTTTGGCAAGTTATATTACGTGTTTCTCCAAAAATTTGATATATTATAGTAAGTTTTTTTATTAGATAAAATATTGATTAGATACTGTAATATCGTTGACTTTATATGAGTAATAATGCAAACTAACATATTTTATCGATACGCAGTATNTGAAACTTTGATCAGTTTTTGCGTCTATAATAATTAGTTATTAAATAATACTATAGTTACAGTATTTAATTAATCTTGTTATGTTTACTCAAGAGATACTAATACCATTTCTAAACTATATATCAAAAATAAATTTAGCTTGAATAAAAATTTTTAATAAATTTATTTAATTAACAATAATAAAAGCTTTAATAATATGGGAATATTGCACAATATCATATAATCTTTAATTATATGGTTTATAGGGAGTATTAACTATGTACTATAAGCCACAATTATACATATTAGTCATCATTAAATCAATTAATATTACTAGTTTAGGTTAAATAACTTATAAATTAATTGTGACTCATAGATAATCTTGATTTTTTTATCTATTTTATTATTATTCACTATGTATCTATGTATTCAAAGGGTTTTAAAAAATATATAAATACCCTTAATTTCCTCAAGGAAAAAATCAAAAACCAAATTTCAATATTATTATTTTTCAAATCTTACAAATCTTACAAAACTTTTACTTTCAATTCAAATTTATAACTTACAATTACAAAATGTCTTATCATTTGTGTCCAAATACTATCAATACTATCTTAAATGAATTTCCTATCAACAAATGTTACAATAATCCTTTACCTATCATTGAAACATCTCAACCTTATTTACCATTACTTACCGGATTTTTTTACATTCTTTTTATAATTCTCCTCATATATACCAACATTCTCACTAATACAATTGTCCTAATTCTTCACTTATTGAAATTCATGTGCACTATAATCA